TACTTGGCATTTATCTTTTAAGGTAAATATTCTTTTAGGGTTCATTTCTTGGTGGCAGGAGGAGCAGTTTTTGTTGATGGCTCAATGGATAATCCCCAGCAAAAGAGCAAGGTTGATTAAGCTGAGAGTGAAGACTAGTTTATTCATGGTTGACCTCCTTATTTCTTAATTGCTGAGCTTTTACTAAGCAATAAGTCAGAGTAATTCGGGCTCCCGTATAATCTGGCTGGCTGGTATCTTCTCATTCGTTATCCCAAATCTCGGTAAATAGTTGGGGGTAGTCAGTTTTTTTGGCAGGGACTGTTTCTAACTCTAACCGACCAAACACGATTCTTTGCCCCAATTCTTTAAGGAACTCTTTATTAGTATAGTCGTGGAGAGGTTTATTCATGGCTTTCCTCCTCCTTGGTTTCTGATTCCGGGTCTTTATTGACTACTTGGTAAGCTGTCTCGATAATTATTCGAAAGACTAATCGGAATTGTTGGTTTTCGGCTTTTAGTCGGTTTATTTCAGCTTGTAATTGGGCTTGGGTTTTTTGGTTTCTAGGCATTGGCTACCTCCTTTTCTGGGCAATTATAGCCGTCTGGTAAGGCTTGATGGGTAATGTCTCTTACCCAAGCACTTAATCTTCACCAACCACCAATTTTGAGACAGTGGACATCATCACCAGTGGTGTCAAATCAGAGGTCTCAATTTTGGTTAGCTTGGTCTTGCTTGGTGAACTTTTGCTGACATTGGCTACACTGGAATTTGGTAATATTAAGGTTAGTGTCTTGAATTTTAGGGGAAGCTCCCATTATAAATTACCCCTCCATAGTTTATACTCCTGGGAAAGCTTTCAATCGGCTCCGTATTTGGTTTTTAGTTCGGCAATTCTTTTTTGGTCGCGTTCCTCATGACGTTTTTGAATCTCTTCGGCAGTTTCTTGCCGTCCGTTTTTTAAGCGGTTAGCGTGTTCATGGTCTTTGGTTATATCTGGATCTAATTCATCGGTGGTGGGGATTAAGAAGAATTTGGTGAGAAAGTATTTAATCGCATAAGTTTCCGCACAACCTTTGGCTTTGGCAGGGTCGGAGTTAGAGCCGATAGCTCAAAAGTGGAAGGTTAAAGTTTCTTCGGGTTTTTCGGAATTGGTGAGAATGGCTTGCTTACGATAGCTGATGGTTCAGTCTTTTTCGGTTTTCTCTTTGGCGAAACTGTCGGCATGGTCGGCAAAAGTAAGGGTGAGTTTATGCTCAGCGAGGAGGGGTTTCAGGATATTAAGAGCTTGCTGCTCCGTGAAGTATTTGTAATTGCCGAATTTGTTTAATTCGGTTTTGCTGATTTGCCCCGTTTGGGATTGGATTTGTTGGAGTTTTTGGTAGATATTAGCCATGGACTACCTCCTTGGACTTGAATGGATGCTTTTGCCGATAATGTTGCTCCATTATTTGGGCTATGCCCGCCATAAAATCACAACCATAAAAACAATTGATTTTAGGCTTAGTTAAAGCACAAAGTTTACACTCTCTGGGGAGTTTGCCTTTAAATTTGATTACTCCACTGCCATCGCCACACTCCGGGCATTGATTTTGGGCATAACGGTTGCCATTAATGGCACAGGAGCGACAATAATCATAGTTGGCTTGCTGGTAAGTAGTGAAAGTATCACCGCAACCGGTACAGGTTTTCTTTTTTCTTTGCTTTTTATTTAGCCGTTGAGGATCGTGGTCGGCAAACACCCCGTCGTGGTTAGCGATTGGCTTTTTAAGCCTAGTTTGCTCTTTTTTCATACAAATTTCATATAAACAAACTCGAACAGTAAAATTACTAATATGAAAATGATTGTAGAAATTCCTAAAGGCTCTTCTAATAAATATGAATATGATGTCAATAACAATGAATGAAAACTAGATCGAGTGCTGGCCGGAGCAATGGTTTATCCTGAAGAATATGGATTTGTTCCAGAAACCTTGGATGATGATGGTGATCCATTGGATGTGGTTTGTCTCAATAATTATCCAACTTTTCCCGGTTGCTCGTTGCCAATTAAAATTATCGGAGTCTTGCGAATGATTGACAGCGGAGAAGAAGATGATAAACTACTAGCCGTCAATGTTGGTGATCCTCGTTTTCAAAACATCAATGACTTAAAAGATGTTAGCCAAGCCAAATTGGCAGAAATTAATCATTTTTTTTTGCGTTATAAAGAATTAGAAAAAAAAAAAGTAGAGTTAAAAGGTTTTCAGGGAAAAAAAGAAGCCGAAGCAATTTTAAAAAAATGCCAAAATCTCTATAAAAAGCAACAGAAACTAAAAAGAAAATTGTAAAAAATTATTAATTAATATGAATTTGGTGGAATTTTTAAGTAAAACGGCTTTTCGATTTTTAGCATGTTTGCCTTTAATTCTTACTTTTTGTAATTATTTTACTGTTTTGAAGCCCGAACAAAGAACTTGAAAAATGGGTATTCTCTTTTTAGTTATCAGTATTACTTATGGTTCACTCTGTTTATATTTCTTATATAAAAATTGGAATAAATAACTACTAAAGAGTCTATAATCCCAATCTTTTATTTAAGTAATGTATGATTTTTTGGTTAAAGAAATCTGCTTCTTGCCTTGAAGTAACAAATGAGATAAAAAAATGAAAATTAAATATCAAACTAGAAAGGTGCCAATAATTCAAATAACCTGCGGACACTTACTAACTTTATCATGACAATTAACTTTTTTCCCCATACAACGATAAAAAAAGGGATAAGGATAATCTTTTGGCATTTGATAACTTTGTGGAGCATCCTGATAAATTCTTTTTAATTCTTCCAGTTTCCTTGGAGAAAAAGAAAATAAATTTCCGGGGGAGTTTAAGTTATTAGCGGTCTTTATTTTAATCATTTGGCTATAATGTTTGTCGAAAGCAGGACGACCAATAACATAAAAAAAATAACTGGTTG